TGATACCTACGATATTTTCGGGAAAATAGATATGACGAACCATTCGTTGGTGTTTGGCTTGCTGCAGTAGCGTGGCAAAGGTTGGGATGGTGCATGATAATTGGACGTTCGTATGACAGGATTACACAGTTGAAACAACAGCAGCAGTAGCATCATGTTCAAAAACTAGCGACGGTGACATCTCGGATTGACACTATCGACCTCTCGGTGCCATACTTCTTCACGCCTCGACATGTCCCTTTCCAAGATTCTGTACAAACCCAGACGCAACGAAGACGGTGGCATTGCTGGCATGGTGGTGGACCAAGAAGACCAAAAGGGAGAGAGACTGCAGTTGCAAAGCAGACAACAAAAAGAAATGACACACCCCTGTTGTACCTCTACTTCGAGAACGCACCGACGCTGAGGAGGAGGCTGCCTCCGTCTGGAAAATCTGAAAAACACAAGCAAATCGGTTCTGTGGTTCGGTGTTCACAGAGTACACATGAAGACGCAGACCTCCTTCAATGAAAATGTTTCTCTATTTTTTTTCTACATCGCATTATTCCAAGGTTCACACAAACGGCATTTCTGCTGTGTAGGAGCTCCAATCCCAGGTCACAGAGAAGGGTTGCTCTGCTACCCTACTATGAATTGAACCGTCATGACTCTACCTATCGCTCGCGGGCTTTCGAAGAAGTTGCAACGCCGTGTAGCAAGCCACCTCATTTTTCGTAGGGCCAGAAGGAAGCCAACTCTCTCCAAAAAAAACTTTCCCCGTCACTCGTCTTCTGCATTGATTGGTGGAACATGGGCATTGAAGAAGGTCCTGGGCTGCGCTTGATCTTGCTGCCTCACAGACAGCGCCTGTAGCATCACAGCGTCAAGAAACGCAAGTACCAGCGAAAACAACTGCGTCTAAAAACCGCAAGGTCGCCGGGACAGCAAAACTGAGGGAGGCTTGCCGCTGGATCAACCGTACTCGACGGTACAGAATCCCGACCAACATCTCGGGCTCTCAAAGGCTCGTGTATTGCGCGCAGGTTCGGGACCATGGTAACAAGCGATAGAGTCCGCCTTGGTTATATTGTAGGCGAGATATCGATCTCACGCTGCTGGGCAAACGTCTCTGTTTGTTTGCTTGTAGGCCTCAACTTACAGCCGTATGTAGCAGGTGCTTTTTCTCTCACGTACAAACAGGTAGACAACAGGCACATAACAACAAGCGACAAGGACCCTGGCGGAAAACGCCAAAACATCTCTTCTACACGGTGCCCCGCAATGTTCCAACGCTAGCACATGAAAGAACCAAGACTAGTGGAAAATCACATCCCAACGGGAACAACTGTGTTCAACAACAAGTCAAGAACCGAGGCACTTGCTCCAAGCCAGACGTCGCGTGAGTGTGAGAGAGCGAGGAGCGAACCATGATCATTGCCTAGACTTATCCCCCGAAGAAAATACTAAGCAATTCGCTCACCTTTCCATCGTACCGAAGCCGCTCGTGGAACAAGGCCGCACGCCGCGGCCCCGCCAGGCTGAAGCTAGGGCTTGTGGGCCGGCGGGATTTTACTTGCGTTCCAAGAGCCCCATCAACCACGACCACCCCCCTCTCGGCCACCTCCATCCCTCCTTCTCCCGCCGCCGCCGCCGCCGACTTTCCTCCCTCCGAGCCCCCTCCCGCGGAAGCGCGAGGAGCCTGTTTTGGGAGGACGACTCTCGCCGCAATCGGCCGGGGTCTGGTGAGGCGTTCTCCCGCTCGGGGAGAGGCCGTCGTTGGACCCTTCCCGCTCCGCCCCAGACGGTCCTCCTTGTAGAGTGCTTCCGCTGGCGTGGTGTGCAGGAGCCGCGAAGAGACGTTCCTCTGGCCTCTGCCGATCGTAAAGGCCGGGGCGCTGCAGAGGCGGGGCATATCGCCGAAGCGGACGCTTGCGCCGATCGTCCTCGCCCGTCGGAACAGGTTCGCGTCTGACAGGGAGGCGGACGCGGCGGCAAAAGTGCCCGCGGCGGTGGCTACCTCGACGCTCGCACAGTCCGGACACGGCACGCCGCGACAAGCCGCCACCGACGACGCCGGCGATAGTCGAGAACAGTGCTGCCGCCGCCCGTTGCCACTGCGGCGAACGCTGTTGGTCTCTATTTTCGCTGGCGAGGACAACGTCGACTGCCCAGCCACACAGGGTGCGTGAGAAAAACGGAAGAAATTTCGTTTGGCCAGCTCCGCTGCAGATTGCCGGTCTTTGGCGTATCCTTCCTCCTCTATTCCCCCGTTCCCGCTCTTGCTCCGGCGCTCGGCTGGACTTGTTCGCTTGTTAGTATTATCGCTCTCGCGTACTACACCGTCTGCAGCAACCTCGTCGTTACTGCACTCCCCCTCCCCTGCTCTCCTAGCCCCCAGAGTACCCCAAGACGCGAGCGTCTCCAATGAACCGTAAATCTTTTCAAAAGCACACCCTTCCAAGCGGTTTTCGAGCCCAATGTCGTACGCTTCCGGGCCTGGAGTGGCTTCCCTTTCTCGTATTTCCTCCTCAGAAAACAGCCGTCCGCGGGGGAAGCGATCAAGCGAAGACATAGAGGCGCTCGGGGCGACCGTTCCACCGCCGCCCCTCGTTCTCCCGAACGCTCCGGGGGGGCGGTCGTACTTCGGACCAGGGTAACCGTCCTTCTCTCGCGGCAGATCGCGGCGCTGCGGGTTGTACTCCGACTGATTGTGGCGCTCGCCGCGCCTCAGCACTGGGCGTGGGGCGTTCTTTTCCGTCAGCGACCATGTTCTCGAGACGTCTGAGATGGGCGTTGCCGGGTGGCCGCCGCTACCCTTGCCTTTGTCTTCGAGGAGTTTGAGTTGCGGTTCCCACTGTCTCGGCTCTGCGCACGACGTCAGCCAGCCGTAGTTTGAACGACGGAATATTCTCGGGCCTCCCCACCGCCGCTTTCTTCGCTTCTTTCGGCGACGCGAATCGGTCTTGGAGATGGGTTGAGGAAGAGCGTTGCCCGGGCGCAGAGCAGAAGACGATTTAGCCCTCGTCTGGCCTGCTGGCTTTCGTTGTGTGGCAGCATCAATCCTCGCCTCCCACGTCTTCGGACGTTCCTGCTTCGACACGCAGGGCACCGATCGTTGATGGATTTTGATTACATGGAGCTGCTGCAATTCTTGGCATTTGTAATGGTCCAGACTGGTGCGAGGAATACACGTAACACTTGGTTATCGCGTCGAAACACACACAAAGTGGTCCAGAGATTCTCAGCGCTCTTGTTTGGGTCTTTTAAGTTTTGCTTTATTCATATTCTTGTGGGCTTTTAGGCGGACGATATACCTGTGGTGCCGACGTTTGTTTGTGATGGGCGGATACCGACGGTTCTGAGCAACCTCAACCCTTTAACGCGCACCGTTTGCAAGCTAGGCAAAGTTCGCTGTTCCGCGTTTCCTACTGTCTATGGGTCATCATATCGACGTCTGACGTTTGGGTGCACCGGCTCATTCGCGAAAGCCCAGCTGTTCAAACTTCTGGCGAGATTTTCGAAAGATCATCACCGCACCGCACCTGGAAACGAGGTGCTCCGCCAAAGAAGACCGCGGGAGACGTGGGTCGATCCGAGGTCAATTGGTGGCGCAGGCAAGAGATATGCCCAGGCTCGGCGTAGGTGCACGGGAGTTCGGCTCGCGGTTGGTCTGGGGTCCTCGGCGGGTACCTTTTCCCTCTCAGAGCGGGGTCGCCGAACGTGATCGCGGGGCCGTTCTGCCCGATTGAATGATGTGCGACATCGTAGTCCCCAGGACCGGGTCCGCTCGGGCTCGCAGTAGCAGTAGAACCGCTGGCGGCGGCCACTGTTGGGCTTCGCCGTCCGGATGGCTTAGTATGAGCAAGGTGAAGAAAACCTTGATTTGAAACTGACCGCTTCTTCTGGAAACGAGGTGCCCCACCGAAGAACACCGCGTAAGACGTGGCCCGATCAGAGGTCAACTGGTCTTTGAGGCTTGAAACGTGCGCGGGCTCGGCGTAGGTGCACGGGATCTCTGCTCGCGGTTGATCCGGGGTTCTCGGCGGGTACTTTCTCCCTAGTCCAGGGTAACCGAACCTAACCGCGTGGCCATTCTGCCCAATTGCAGGAGGCGTGACATTGTAGTCCCCAGGCCCGGGCCCCGGGACCTTTGCCGGCAGTATGACGGTATGATTTTTATGCGCCTCCGTGCTGGTGCTGCCGTATGGCTGTTGTTCAGGGATGTCCTGTATTTCTTCGGAAGAAGAATGAGGCATTCGCACGTGTTGTTACGCCCAGGTCGGTCGCTGTTGCTCGTGGTCTACTATACTCGCGCCAATGAACCAAACGCTCGCCGCGTACTGCTATATTGTACTTCCCAACTTGCCTCCTTCATCTGTCCATGGTACTTACTGCCTTTCAGCGACGGAGGAGAGAGAGAGAGCGAGAGAGAGCGAGAGAGAGAGAGAGAGAGAGAGAGAGAGATGATACGAGGGGAGAGTAAGGAGGAAGGGAAGAGAGATCGGAGGAGAAGGCACGACTCTTCCTCATGGCCACGGAGGATACCCGGACCAGGAAGGACACCTGCAACTGCGATGGACGTGCTGCTTGGTGTTGGCTGTCCGTGGACAGTGTACACGGCGATGAGCACGTCGTACAGCCATTGCTCGCTGGAGGTGCTTGATAAGGTACACTCCGACTGTAGCAAGACAATACACAAGACCCCAGAGGCTCCGATACAGCGGTGTTTCACAAGAGTTACGNTTATATGATAATCTAATATGCATGCTCACATGCTACCGTGCTACCGTGCTACCGTGCTACCTGCTACCGTGCGTTCCTCTGCCCTGAAACGTAACCGGTCAGCCCGCATTTATTTTTTCGTCCAATCTCTGGTGCCTGGGTGGACGTGGGACTGTCGGCAAATCGCCCCGCTTTTCCCAATGGGAGACCCTCCTCGCCGCCCGGTCAAGCTTGGTCCGTTGTTGGCAGTAAGCCACGATACGGTCCTATTGCTTCGCCCTCGCTGCACTGGGTCAAAGATGGAGGGTGGCGACCCTACCCTCCTTCGGTATGCCGCTCAGCCCGACGTAGTATTGTCTCAGGAGAGAGATCTATACTACGCGAACAGGTTACTAGGTGAAGGTACCTCGGAGCTGGCCGAGACGCTGCTGGGAGCTCGCAGGGTGATGATACTCGCCCCCGAACTGAGGGCGCTTGCTTCTTGTCTATACTTCGGCCTCACTAACCTTGCAGGTATGACGCGAATCCAAGTTTTGTCGTTGTAATGCTTGTCGCAACCAGTATACAGTTGGCTGCTGGGTGTAGCTGACACGTTGTTGTTGTTGTTGTTGTCTTCATATTAAACCGTTCCGATCTCTCTCTACCCAGAAAGGTTTTTAATGTAAAGACAACAACAACAACAACCCTGTACCTTCGTATGTCCGTACTGATCCAACACTTGACGCGATCGATTCCCGTGGTCACAGGCTAACTTACCCTAACAAGGTACATTCAAATAAACTGGCCCCGAAGGGTCCGCAAGTCAAAAGAAATCAACAACAGATATTCTGAGTCCTCCGCTCCCTCTGCGCGCAATGCGAGGATAACATCTGAGACTGGAGTCAGCATCACGAGCCAGAGAGAAAGAGGTACACGCCCTTGGTTCAATCTTGGGTACTTCACAACGCAAGCAAAGAGAAGGCCATCTGACACAGAAAAAGAGAGAAAAAAGAGAGAAAAAAGAGAGAAAGAGGAACGAGTAAACGAGGAAAAAAAAGGAAACAGGAAGGAAAGAGAAACCGAAAAAGGGCGAGGACAAAAAGGGACCAGGCCGAAATTAACAAGAATATGGGACAGAAAAAGGCACACGGTGGAGATACCACTAACGAACAAGCAAACACGCAAACATGACCACCAACCAGCGATACAATGCTATGGTACGTCATCACTAGACTAGGGGAGGGTTGGTGCAATGGTGCAGCGTTGGGGGGGGGGGCATTGGCTAAGAGAAATTCGATCCGGCACGAATCGCGCCACTCGGTCCGTCTCTTCTCGTTTCCTTTCTTCCATCGCCATTTCGTCCGTCTCTTGCCCCCCTCCCGCCCCATTGGTTGTTGGCTTGTGGTCTCGTTTGAGCGCTCGTTGTCGGCTGGCCTTTTCTTCCTTCTCGTGCCAGGAGGTCATGAACCTCTCAGCTCCCTGCAGCACCGCCGCATGCCAGGGTACTCCCCCTTCCACCTTCGCGGCTTCCGTCAGCTTTAACTTCGGTGCCATCTCTTTCGGTACCGGGATTCCGAGACAACATGGATCGCTTTTCGTAGATCCGTGGTCGGCCCCGAATACCTTCAGGTCGTCGAGCACACACTTCGTCCAGTTCTGTTCCTGTCCCCCTCTACGTCGCTGCTCCCCCCCCGCCAGTTCGCCGAGCATCAGACCGGTCGCCCCGGTGGTCTAGTGGTATCCTCGTAATCCGCTAGTCGCAGAGGTCGTGAGTTCGAATCCCCATGGGGTGAAAATTTACGAAATTTGCGGGTGAAAGCGAAATATAGCTAAAAAGCTCTCGTGAGTACCAAACTTCGACGTTAGCACTGTTGACGAGGGAAAGGGACGGCTGGACCCTTCTCGCGATAAAAATAGAATTCAGCACGCACCGCAGGAGGAAGGTGGGGCATGAAAAGAAATAAAAAGAAGAAAAAAGCCCTGGTGTTTACCCCCTCCTGTGTGACCCTGGATGGTTGCAGTTGTACGAAAAAAATACACTGAAACGTGTAGTACTCTACATACGCTGAAAAGTGTAGTACACGTCTCACCACGAAAAATGGGGGGACTGTCGCCATAGTAAATAGGACGACAACACACAACACAACAGTCGTTTCGGGAGTCGCCCGTCCGGCTGCCTTGCCAATGCTCCCGCGAGCAGTGGGCGTCGTTGTCGGATCGTGGCTTCAACGCTCTGGCATTCGACCCTCTTCAGCGTCTGGGCGTAGGAAAGCTGCCGGTAAGTGTCTTTCTTGCGCTTGTACCCGATAACTCGTAGGAGCAGTCGGTGGTGTATCGACCGCAGCGTCTGGTAGTGGCCGCTGAGTGGTGACCATGTTACGCAGCCGTACAGCAGTGCCTCCATCGTTTCCGCCTGGAGCAGGCGAATCTTGAGTCGGAATGGCGCTTTCGGTCTGTGGAAGAGCTCCCGGCCATATCGCCTGAGGCACGCCCACGCTCCTCTGCTCCTGTAGTTGATCTCCCGGGTGAGGTCGCCATGTTCGTTGACGAGGCCACCAAAGTACCGGAACTCGGTCTTCTGGCCGTATTTCTGCCCCGCGGCTTCGATGGTCAGCGGTAGAGGCGGGGGGGGCTGTGGTGTTGTAGTCGGCTTGTCCTTCGCGCGCATAAGGAGCCTCTCCGTCTTCTTCTCCGATACCGCCAGCCCGAACTCCCCGAACACCTCAACGATGATGGTCATCATTCTCGCTAGTCCTTCTGCAGACCTCGATACGACGCCGGCATCATCGGCATACAGCCTCCCCCATACTGCCCTCCGTACTCGGTCAAAGGGNAGAACCAGTCCGATAATTCTCCGTCGCCCATGCGCACCCGGGCCCGTATTCCATCGTGGAATTGGCGGATGACTTTGATCAGCTTCGCGGGAATCCCGGCCCTAGCCAGCACGTTCCATAGCATCCCTCGGTCCACCGAATCATACCCCTTCTTCAAGTCGACGAAGCACATGTAGAGCGGTATTTTGTTTCTCCGCCCCAGCTCCTGGAGGCGGCGCACGACGAACAGCATGTCGACGGTGGATCACCCGGGTCGAAATCCGCACTGTTCCTGCGGGAGGATGTGGTTGGCTTCGCAGAAGGCGCTTAGACGGTTGGTGCTGATTTTGATGGGGACCTTGCCTAAGTGAGATAGTAGCGAAATCCCCCTGTAGTTGTTACAGTTGGACCGGTCACCCTTCTCGTACAGCACATTGATGGTTGCATCCTTCCACTCTTGCGGAATATCTCCTCCGTTCCACACCTTGACGAGGATGGTATGGAGGTGTCCCAGGACGAAGAGTTCGTCGTCATCGATCTTGAGCAACTCGGCAGATAGGGAGTCATGGCCGGGTGCCTTCCAGTTCTTGAGGCCTTTCGTTGCCCGTTCGACCTCCTCGAGTTCTGGCACCTCTCCCAACCGTTGAAGGTCACGTGACATGCAGACTTACAAAGATACCTGCACAAGGAAGAAGCCGACAAGGCACGTTGGTGGACTGTCTGCTAGGCGTCGAAATGAAGACCATGTGCCGACGACACATCCGTAGGCCTCACGCCTTATCACCACACTAGCCGTTGCTCGAGTTCCACCCTCCGTTCAAGCGTCAAGTTGCGGGCTGTGCCAGAGGCCAACACGGAGCGATGTAAGGCCTCAGGTTGCAGTACTGGCCGTGTTCGAGGGTACTTGGCGACTTGGCGAGCAAAGCACATCAACACACACACACATTGGTCAGCGGATTAGCGTGGTCGATGCCAATACTAAGAACACACACACACGCGTTAACCGTGTTGCCGCACCTCGGCCGGCAAGAGGCCTCCTTCGCTGATCCACCCTCACGTGCGTCATGTCACTGCGTACCCGATACCGGATGATGCTCAACGCCCGCAGGCAAGCAAACTCTTGGGCAGGAGTACTGCGGCATTGATCTGGTTCCCTCAGGCCGGGGCGGCGGCAGGGAGTCTTCCCCTCTCTCCAGGAGGCCGTTGCAAGCGTACACGTTTCTCCGCGTGGCTGTGCCGTACCTCCAGGTGAGAGTCCGATCGACTCTAGTCATGCATGACGACGAGGTACGCTTCAGCTGTCCCCATTCTAAGGCCAAAGTGTTGCATACACAACAGCAGCGAGAGTCTCGTGAGAAAAAAGTTAGGGCATGCTCGCGCGCTTTCCACCGAGCTGACACTGAATAATTACGCACGGTCAGAAAAAGTACTGTCTCGCCAATTTTTTGACATCAACTTGTCTCCACGCGCCTTCATTTTACCCGCCCCCCTCGGTGTTTGCCATCGGGGTTGGGTTTTCGTCGCTTGGCAACGACGTTGTAAAACAAGCCAATTCACTTCGTGAACTCGGCAACCAGGTTACCGTTTTTTTTTTTACCTCTGTTTTTTTTTTTGGCGGTAACTATGAATGGTCGTCGAGTAGATCATGTGGTGCGGGGTCGAGAACCCTCACTCCGCGCAAGGGGGATGATCGCACCACGTTGTGTTAAAATGGTCAAGCACCCTCGAGGCAATTACACA